GGAGACTGACATTTCTTTATTTTGTCCCTGATGTGGCCTGCTTTCTAAATAATCCTTTCCTTCTCTCTCTCTCTCTCTCTCTCTCAATCCCAGCAAGTAATGCTGAAATTGTTCAGAAGACTAATACAATCATTTTGATGAACAAACACATTAGTATGCAAGGGAGAAGAGCTGGCTGGAAGAAACATCAAGTACCCTTCAGCTACAAATATTGTTAGCTTTACTTCCCCTTAAAGGCCATCGTAATATACTAGAAAGGAATGATTCCAGAATGAATCCCAAAGGCCACGTCTCTAGGCCTTTACCATTCCCAACAACATCTGGTTAATTGTCCTGTTAGCTAGTGACAGTGGAAAAATAGGCAGGGATAATGGGTCGACACCATATAATTCACCACCTGTGTTTAAGAGATAAATTAAGGATAATTAAATATACTATTATACAAGAGAGAAACTGATCATTATAAATATTATGAGTGATTATTTAAATCTAAACACATTTAGGCATTGATTACTAAAATTTTTATGGATTTATTATTGCTTTGCTGATTAAACTGAACAAAGTGGCTTCACATATGCAATCTATTTGCAAAGTTAGTATTATAATTTTCATATTTTCTTAAATATTTAAGTATTCACAAAAAATTGATATATGTTCTGAAGCTCTGCAGAATTTCGTTCTGCAATCATGTTGTTTAATGATGATACAAACAGAGGCCTACGATTTTTAAAGCATCAGATTTCATCTTAGAAGCTGGAACTGGCAAAATGCTTTCCCCAAAAGAACATTATTTGTGATGGTGATGTTTGCATTTTACCTAATGATAATATAATGTTCCAATTTCGTATAAGTTATTACTTTGCCACCAATTTTTGGCCTACCAAAAAATATTTATTGGTGTGCATTATTGCAGTTCTGCCTTGAATATAGAATACAGCTGTCACACGGTAGAAAGAAGTAATACACAGTATGGCTAATCACAGTAACTTGTTGCAAATGAAAACTCAAAAGAATTATGTGTCTGGCTTACTAACTTTTCTAGATAAGTGAGAAATAACACTAGATGGAAACTTGTATCTGTTATTGAGAGAGAAAGTATACATTAGTCTTCTTTTGGGAGTTGTAACATCTTTAATTGTAAACCTCAATTATTGTTATTCTGTAATTCAGGATAAACACCAATGCAAGAAACTGGCTGGGAGTTCTATCATTTCAGGGACATACTCCAGGAATTGCTTTTCTTCTTATAAATACGTGATAAGACTTAATTGTCATTGTCTTTTTTTCTATTGAAATCAGGGAGTAGAATAAATTTGCTGAAAAGGAATCAGAATGAAACAGATTATATTTTAAAATAATAAGAGATGATTAATAAAGACTGTGTAGACAATAGAAATTCCCTGACTATCTAAGAAACAGAACCCAAGAATGAGAAAAGTACTTTTAATTTTCAACCCACTAAATTAAAAAGATCTTGCTAAAACTTAGAATCAAAGTGAGCCTTTGCCTCCCTAATTTGTTTACTTACAATTTAGCATGGATTACAACATTCCTGTACTATTGCTATGGTATCTTGTTTCAGTAAACTTTATCTTGTCAAGCAACAGCCTACGTTTGCTAAGAATACAATGAAATAAAACTTCTATTTAGATTGAAGGGTTTTATTTTGGAGGGGGTGTTAGAAGGAAAAATAGAGTAATGAAATCAATGACAGGAACAAAATGTCTCAGAGAGATGTATGCTGTTACCATTGGCTAAAATGTTTCACATACTCTGTGCATAAGAGTGTGTGTGTATTGAGAGATAGGATCACTATCTCTCAACAAGTGAAAAGTATTGTCACTGCAGGTAGGAGGCTGCAGTTTCAATTTTACATCCACCCCTTTCTAGCTGTGTGACCTTAGGCAAGTTATTTAACTTCTGCGTGTCACAGTTTCTTCACCTGGAAAACAGAGATAATAATAGCGCCCACCTCAAAGGATCAGGGTGAGGATAAAACAAGTAAATTTATGCCCAGCAACCAGGGCAGGACCTGGTGTATGGTGAGGACTGTGCAAGCATTCTCTGCTTTTATTTAGGCAATCAGGTTATCATTAAATAAGTTGGTTTTTCTCAATGTTAAGATTGTTACTCCAGCCTGGTGCAGAGGGCAGAAGTCATTTACCAGTTATCAATCCCTTTGTGTCTGGTAATATTACAGAATTTTCTCAGAAATACAAATCCTACGGGAGAGCAGGCATAGTTTCTCTTCTCTATGTTGACTTACAAGTAATGGTAATAGCAGGTAATGTTGAATGGTGTTTACTATGTGCATATGCTAGTCTAAGTGCAATGTATATTATCTGATTTAGTTTCTCATATCTCCTTGAGGTATATACAATTATTATTTCCATCTTCAACTTGAGGAAATGAAATCTAGATGAAATGTAATGATTTAGAGAGTCGTATGGTCTAACTCCAGAGCTGATGCTCCTAGGCCTGACTGGCATGACCATGCATTGTCTTCTTTGTTTTGCCTTTTGGTTTATGCAGAGTGATTTTACTGCGGGGGAGATAATGAGCTGCCTTGGAGGTCTTTCCTTATCACAATGATGATACCCATTTTATAGCAACAGGCAATAGAATGCTTAACCACTAGGACACTGTTGAGAATCACTCAGGAGAGCTTGGGTGCAGAAGCAGTGCTCATGCTTCACTTCAGACATGGGGCTCAGCTACTTGCCCTCCATGGCAACATGTTGCAGCCCCTACACCGCAGAGTCTGGGCAAGCTGAGGTGGGGGGACCACAGGATATAGTAGAAGGAGCTGGGAGTGTGGTGAGGTGGGCATTCAAGCTGCTATTCCTGCTAAAAGGACAAAACAAAATTGAGAGGAGGGGTTCATTGTGAAAAACCATGAAAAGAACTTTTTTGTGGCTGATCTGGTGACCCTAATTCTCCTCTTCTCTGTTAGGTGTATTAGTCAGGGTTATCCAGAGAGATGGAACAAATAGGTGATAGAGATAGATAGATAGATAGATAGATAGATAGATAGATAGATAGATAGATAGATAGATAGATAGATAGATAGACAGACAGAGAAAGATGTAGATAAATGAGAGGAGATTTATTAGGGGAATGGGCTCACATGACTGGAGGCTGATAAGTCCGGCGACAGGCTGTCTGTAAGCTGGAGACCCTGGAATGTGGTAGCATGGCTCAGTCCAAGTACCAAAGCCTCAGAACCAGGAAAGCCAATGTAATTCTCTGTTAGAGGCCACAGGCCTGAGAACCCAGGGGACCACTGAAGTCCTGGGATTCTCAAGGTCAGAGAAAGCCTGGAGTTCTGATGTCCAAGGGCCGGAGGAAGAGAGTGTCCCAACACCAGGAGAGTTTTTTTGTTCTTTCCAGGCCACCAACCATATGATAGTGCCCATCCATACTGCAAGAAGCTCTTCTCCACTCAGCCACCTACTCACAAGACAATCTCCTCTGGAAACACCCTCGCAGACACACTCATAAGGAGTACTTTACCCATTCTCTAGGTGTTCTTTAATTCAGTCAAGTTGACATCTGAAATTTACCATCACTAATCCACCCCTTGTCAACGTGGCTCCTACATGCATCTCCTTAAGCCACATAATCTCCAAAACAAATGCAACAACAAGGTAATGGTTCCACCAGATATAATATTACTATCCTGACAATAACAGAAAACGCACTAATCCCTTCTCCAGAAGAAGAGGTAAAGTTCTGGGATGATGTTTACTCCTTTCCTGATATCTCACGATTTAAAAAATCAGTACATCTTATGCTACCTATAAAGGAATAAAAAGGGAATGAAAATAAAGATAAATTTGCTTAATATATGTTAACATATTCTTAACAAAATAGGGAGAAAGTACTTACAACAATTATAGTTCTCATGTCTGTCACTTGTCACGTGATCATAGCTGGTGTTTACAACTACCTTCTTCTACTACCCATTATGTAACCCCTTTGCCTTCAGCAAGCATCCTTGCTGGTCATACTTCTTTATCTGGCAAGATGACCCAAACCTTCATTCCTGCTGCGCCATTCATAGTCCTGCCTGGATTGGGTGTTGTGATTTTCCTTTGATCTTATTCACAGGGCATGATAATACTAAGAGATGCCCTAAAGGATCTCCTGTACTCTGGACATACTCTTCCTTAGCTCCATTGTGGGGTACTAGTCCAGTTTCCCCATGGAAGTCTGGATCTGTCACCCCAGTCAACACCATAACTCCCTTCTTCTTTGCCTGTTGACTCAGAGGCGGGAGGAGCTCATTCTGAGCTTCCATGGCAATGGAATCATTGTTGTATCTCTGGGCGGCAGCATTCCTCCCTCTGGAACTAAGACCTCTAGGCCAGCCGAGCATAAAGTCAGGAAGAAAAATGTTACTAGTGGTTCACTAGGGGTAATAGTGAGTGCAGATAATTCAAAAGGCATAGTAAGCCGGGCGCGGTGGCTCACGCCTATAATCCCAGCACTTTGGGAGACCGAGGCAGGTGGATCCCTTGAGGTCAGGAGTTCAAGACTAGCCTGGCCAACATGGTGAAACCCTGTCTCTGCTAAAAATACAAAACTGATCCAGGCGTGGTGGTGTGCGCCTGTAGTCCCCGCTGCGCAAGAGACTGAGGCGGGATAATCTCTTGACCTGGGAGACAGAGGTTGTACTGAGCTGAGATCATGCCACTGCACTCTAGCCTGGGCAACAGAGTGAGATTCCATCTATAAACAAAAATAAAAAAAATTTAAAAAGGCACAGTAAGTCTAGGGTGGGTCAATTTCAGAGCATGCATCGTGGCTCATGTTGGGAACTGCCTATCTGGTTCCTGCAATAAAAGTCAAATTTCCTAATATACAGTATAAGTATCTGGGTCACCCTGTTGAGAACTGCGTGTGAATAATTTATGTGACCTTGGAATTGATTGTATCTACTAGTAATCACTTTGACTCACAGATTTTTGTTTTCTATTTTTTTTTTTTTTTTTTGACAGGTTCCTGGGCAGATCGATCACCACTACATGAAGCCGCAAGTCAAGGTCGCCTTCTTGCTCTGAGAACATTATTATCACAGGTAATATATTACAAATAGTTTAAAATATACCCCCTTTCCATGTGCATAGAACATGGTCAAAATAAATCAATCCAAATATAATAAAACTACTTGATTTTTACTTCTGCTCTTTTATTTTAACTCATGTCGGAGAAGTCAATAGTTTCTCACTTATCTTTGAAACTTCTTTTATAAATATTTTGATATAATTGTATGTCTTAGTATTTTAAATTTCCCAGACAGCATATTTGTTCATCGATAGACATTTAAGGAAGTAATGATTGGATTTATGTGTTATTGATTAAGCTTTCTAAATATGCTTAACTCTGCACAATTGTACAGCTAATTACAGACTTAGTTCAGTAATAAAATATCCAAAAAGAAGTCATCAGATCAGATGCCAAAGCAATCTTGTTTACTTTATGGTAATCTGTGATATGCTCTGGGGAATTGCCTAACAAAACTACAGGACAACCATTTCTATACTTGCCTGCTCAGCAGACTCACCAGAGGAAAAATGAAAAACACAAATCCTTATTGAGAAAACCACTCTGGCTTGGGTATTTTTTTGTTGTTGTTGAAAGCTTCTGATGTATTTCAAATGCACAACCAGGCTGGGCACGGTGGCTCATGCCTGTAATTCCAGAACTTTGGGAGGCGGAGGCAGGTGGATCACCTGAGGCCAGGAGTTCGAGACCAGCCTGACCAACATGGTGAAACCCCATCTCTACTAAAACTGCAAAAATGAGCCAGGCATGGTGGCTAGGGCCTGTAATCCCAGCTACTTGGGAGGCTGAGACAGGAGAATCAATTGGACCCAGGAGGCAGAGGTTGCAGTGAGCCAAGTTCATGCCAGAGTACTCTAGCTTGGGCGACAGAGCAAGTGAGACTCCATCTCAAAAAAAAAAAAAAAAATCAAATGCACACCCAGATCTGGAAGTCATGTGCTCGTGTTTCCCAGTCTCAAGGAGAAAGAACATTCTCAGATGGCTATGAAGAAGGGAAAGGGGAAAGGTCGTGTTGCCCAATTTAAACAGCACTGCCTGGGTCTCAAGACCTGGATCCTAGGCTGGCACTTGAAGTGAACCACAACCTGCCTGAGACTCCTTTTCTCATCTGTAGAGTGAAACACTTCCTTAGGGTCTTCCAGTTCTGTCATAACCATATGACTATTTTGTTTTGTTCATCACTTGATGGGAGGAAAATAAACACTGAAAAGGGGTCAACAATTTCTAAAGGGTAATTCCTCAGAAAGGGCCATGCAGTTCTTTGAAGAAGAGCTGTCTTAGGATATTTTTCAGTGTGTGTCTCTAATCCACAGACAGTTCAGCCAAGAATCACGAGACGCTGTCCCCAGAGCCTGATGCGAAAGGGAGTCTCAGCCTTCTCAGGTGCTTCTGCCATCCGGTGCCTCTAGTGTGTGGCTGTGTGGGATTAGCTTCCCAAGTCTAACTGCTGGCTAGCCAACTCGAAATCTTTGAAAGGATTATGTTTTCTTGCCTTCATTTAAAAATTCTTCATGTCAGGCCGGGCGCGGTGGCTCAAGCCTGTAATCCCAGCACTTTGGGAGGCCGAGGCGGGTGGATCACGAGGTCAGGAGATCGAGACTATCCTGGCTAACATGGTGAAACCCCGTCTCTACTAAAAATACAAAAAACTAGCCGGGCGTGGTGGCGGGCGCCTGTAGTCTCAGCTACTTGGGAGGCTGAGGCGGGAGAATGGCGTGAACCCGGGAGGCGGAGTTTGCAGTGAGCCGAGATCGCGCCACTGCACTCCAGCCTGGGAGACACAGCGAGACTCCGTCTCAAAAAAAAAAAAAAAAAAAAAAATTCTTCATGTCTATATTGGTGTTACAGATCTTGGTGATCTGTAGTATGTTATGAGGATTTGGCTTTGAGGTTCTTCCTGTTACAGTACTTAGTATGCTTGTCAACAGACAATGAAATAGCAAAGATATCAAGAAGGTAAACAATCTCACATCCTAATAGTATTTAATTATTTCAGTGTGATATTCTGAGTTTGATTGGAATACAGTGAAAAAGTGTTTCCTTAGTTTTGATTGAATAATTGCAATAAAATAATGTTTTCATACGCTGGGCATTATAATAATAATTGCTTTACATGCATCATCTCATTTAATTTTCATGATAATCTTCAAATTTAGAGGTTAGGGTATTTGTCCAAATTAAAGCTATTCATGATGGAGCCACGCTTCAAACCCAAGTCTAATTGATTTTGTAGTCAGAGTTCTTAACCACCAGCACACAACTTCATCATACCTATTTAGGGACAAAAATTCACAAAACTGTTTACTATAGTATAGAGTATTTTTCTCCCACTCTTGACTGACCTGTAATTTTATAGCCTCAATCAAAACAAGTCAGCCGGGTGTGGTGGCTCACGCCTGTAATCCCAGTACTTTGGGAGGCTGAGGCGGGCGGATCACGAGATCAGGAGATAGAGACCATCCTGGCTGACATGGTGAAACCCCATCTCTACTGAAAATACAAAAAAATTAGCCGGGCACGGTGGCGGACACCTGTAGTCCCAGCTACTCGGGAGACTGTGGCAGGAGAATGGCGTCAACCTGGGAGGCTGAGGTTGCAGTGAGCCGAGATCGCGCCACTGCACTCCAGCCTGGGCGACAGAGTGAGGCTCCATCTCAAAAAAAAAAAAAGTCTTTAGTTCTACAAAACAAAAAGGAGTGTTTAATTCTACAAAACAAAGCACAAAATAAGGACAAAAACTATTAAGAAAGCAACATTTAAAGAAAATGTGCCGGAATCTATTGAACCGAATACTTAAGGCATTATTGGGTCCAGGCATGATGGTGCCACAATGATAGGGCTAGGAGTCCAGACAACGGATTGACCTCATGGCATTTGAACTGGCCTATCCTGCCAAACTGGAAACTGGTTTGCCTGAGATTCTTTAATCTCTAAAATATATCACTCTCTAGTGATTTTTTAAGTATATAACTCTTTGCTCACCTTTCACAATTATGTCACATTTAGGGTTATAATGTAAATGCAGTAACCTTAGACCACGTCACCCCATTGCACGAAGCCTGCCTCGGAGATCACGTGGCATGCGCCAGAACTCTGCTGGAAGCAGGGGCTAATGTAAGTACCTTTCAAAACATTAATAATTCAACATCTACCGACAGAGAGAATCCAACAGAGTTCTCATTTTACTTCTCCCTTCATTCTCGGTAATTTTCAAAAATAACAGAATAAAAATAAAGCTCTCGAATTCCTTAGCCTTCTTATTGCACTCTGAAAAGGATTTCCAATCATTGCATAAATGGGTAGCACGCTGCATCGTAATATAGACTATTTTCTAGGTTATTTCCTGCTTTCATGACTCTAAATAGCAGTCGATGAACATATTTAGGTCTATAATGTTTGCCCATCTTTTGGGTGATTTTCCTTAAATAAAGTCTCAGAAATAGAATTACCAATTTTACCACTTTAAACTAGCAATGTGGCTTCATTACAACTTCATCATCATTACACTTTTTTCTTCATGTTTATTCTTACTGAAAAGTATCTAATCATTGAATTAGATCTTATTTGCTATTTGAGCATGCATTTTTTTTCATGATTTCCACTAGTTTTATGCCCATTCCAATGAATTCTCTGCCACATCATATTTCTGTCTGTTTTACAGCTTTTCTTGTTGATGCGTAAAAGCAAAATATACTTTGTCATATTTACTGTGTACATTTTCCCAAGTATTTCTGTTAGCCAATCACATACCTTTTGAAAATGCATAACTAAGTCAGTTAATCATGTATGACTTATGAATCTTATTTTTGGATATTTTGGTTTGGTTTAGGTAAATGCAATCACGATAGATGGCGTGACTCCGTTATTCAACGCATGCTCCCAAGGCAGTCCAAGCTGTGCAGAGCTGCTTCTGGAGTATGGCGCCAAAGCCCAGCTGGAGTCCTGTCTTCCATCCCCCACGCATGAGGCCGCCAGTAAAGGTAACTTAGTTCTGGGATTAAGTGACAAGGGGAGAAAGTTTCTTTAGCAACCTGCAGTGCTCTGTTGATCTTTCAGTGAATGATACCACAGGGCAAGCCTGGGGTGAGGTGTGTGGGGTGGATGGGCATTAAGTAAAATCCTCTACTTTGTGTTGGCAGGTCACCATGAATGTCTTGACATCCTGATATCCTGGGGCATAGACGTTGACCAAGACATTCCTCATTTGGGAACTCCTCTCTATGTAGCTTGTATGTCACAGCAATTCCATTGCATCTGGAAACTTCTTTATGCTGGTATTTTCCTTTAAAACATCTTCCGTTCTGTCCATACACACAAGCAGTTATTTATTTCTCTAAATGAGCATCTTTAAAAATTAGATCTCATTGCTAAATATGTTCTTATTGTAAGCATTTTCACACATGAATAGAGAACCAATAAAAAGAACTTCATTCTTGATAAGTCGGCTTCCCAGCTCACAGATAGATACATCATCTCTGCATTTTGCATGCCCTGCATTAGCAGACATGTGGGTATGTAATGGAGTCTGAAAGCTCTACTTTTAGGTCATAAAATTAGGATCCTCAAGATTGAATATGATGTTGCCAAGTATGTATATATCTTGGAACAAATCCATCAAAAGAAATTTTCAGGATAGTAACTGCTTGAACAAGCTCATCTTCTGCTAACCTTAAAAACTCACGCACTTTTCTAGACTTTGTACTTTTTGTCCTGCTTACTTGAAAAGACTTACTGCCCTTTTCCACTTACTTGAAAGAAATCAATTCCTCAAGGTTTGTTTCAAGTTCAGCTTTAGTCCCTGAAAAACATTTCTAACCCATTGAGACCATAGTGGTCCCACTCACCATAGGACTCAGAGTCCCGTTAGGATTTGGATCACACCTTTTTTCCATTCCTGTTTTCTCTAGCAAGGTTCCTCTCTCTCATCCTCTCATGTGATAGATGTTTAGAAGATAGATAAAATGAGTAAATGGAGTTCTATGCTATTTATTGTTTATGAGAGTCATTTGATCCCTGATATATACTGACCTTTATTTTTAGTAGCCCTTTTATGCACTACTCACATTATCTTAGCTAACTGAGAAACGTCTTGCAAGCAGGGTCTACATCTACACTTTCATTCTCATTATACCTACTCAGTCTTAGACATGAGTTCTGTTAATAGTCATTGACAGATTGTTATTTTTTGGCTATATTCTCCCGTGAAGTTTGTATGATCGATAGAGTTTATGCTTTCTAGCAAGCTTGTCCAACCTGCAGCCCATGAGCCCCATGTGGCTCAGGATGGCTTTGAATGCAGCCCAATAAAAATTCATAAACTTTCTTAAAACATTATAAGATTTTATTTTATTTTATTTTTAGCTCATCAGCTATCATTAGTGTTAGTGTATTATATTTGTGGCCCAAGACAATTCTTCTTCCAATGTGGCCAAGGGAAGCCAAATGATTGGACATCCCTGCTTTAAAGCCTTTTGTTCGTTTGCTAGGAATATTATTCTTTCCACCAAACATTTTATACTGGGTTTTAAAAAATATGGGCCTGTAATCCCAGCACTTTGGAAGGCCTAGGCAAGTGGATCACCTGAGGTCAGGAGTTTGAGACCCACCTGGCCAACATGGTGAAACCCTGTCGCTACTAAAAGTACAAAAATTAGCTAGGCATGGTGGCACGTGCCTGTAGTCCCAGCTACTCGGGAGGCTGAGGCAGGAGAATCACTTGAACCCAGGAGGCAGAGGTAACAGTGAGCCGAGATCGCGCCACTGCCCTCCAGCCTGAGAGACAGAATGAGACTCCGTCTCTCTCTCTGTATATATATGTATATATACACACACATATATATGGAAAAAGTACTGTTAGTATTTGTTGATTGATTGTTATTTTCAGGCCCTTTTCTTCCATAAAATTGACATAACCAACAAAGTTTATGCTTTCTCTATGGAAATTTTGTTATGGAATATAATTTTTTCACTAAACATTTTATATTTGTTTTAAAAATATTGAAAATGATTACATTTATTGAAATTTGAAAGGAGCAGAAGGGCCATAAAGGGACACTTAAAGTGTACTGCCTCGTAAAGACATCGTTAGTTTTAAAGACCGTATCGGAAAACAGAGTTGAAAAGAACTTATGCTTTTTTATTGGTACACATTTCTGGTGTTGTAACCGTTTATGTACCAGAAAATGGGATGGTTATTTTTAACAGTACTAAACAGCATTTATTTATTACAAATGCATTGAATAACCACCACGTGCCAGGATTTGCACTAGGATAAAGTAAGTATGCAGGAGGTAATTTAACATGTAGGCTGCATTTTAACATAAGCATTTTTAAAAACTTTCCTTTCATGCAGCTATCATCAATGTGCCTTTTGATTTACAAGGCTCAATATCTTTATACACTTATTGACGTAAACTACATAAGTGAGAAATGGCAGGAAAATCTATATACATTTTACTTAAATAGCTCACATATTCATGAGTTTCCCAAGAAAACCAAAGAGCTTCATTGCCTTAAATAAATGAAAAGAATAATAGAAATAAGCACCTGAATAATTCTAAAAGCAATCAACCATGACGAAAATAAAAATGAATGAACTTTAATTGTGCACTCTTTATAATATTAGTTAATATGATTACTTTGGGGATCATTGAAAAGTTAAAAAGAATTGTATTATGATAGCTCAAGCATAAGAAGAGTGTCAGAGAGTAACATAACAAATGTATGTACCCTCTCCTATTCAGATGTGCCCAGTTTATATAGATGTTTATGTACATATGAGGCATACATGTGTATGTAGATACTGTATATATACATATATATATAAAAAAAGAAATAACTCATAACAAATGAGTTGAAGTCCCCTTAGTAACCTTCCTCTATTGCCTTTCCTTTTCTACCCTCACTGAGGCAATTGGCTTATTTAATAATTTTTATGTATATTTATCTTCACTCCCTATTACACGTAGGTGCTGATGTACAGAAAGGCAAATATTGGGATACTCCATTACATGCTGCTGCCCAACAATCCAGTACAGAAATTGTAAACTTACTGCTAGAATTTGGAGCAGATACCAATGCCAAAAATACAGAGCTTCTGCGACCTATAGATGTAGCTACGTCCAGCAGCATGGTGGAAAGAATACTGCTTCAACATGAAGGTAAGAAAAATACATGTGGAAACTTACAAAAACAAAACTATATTTGCCTAACATAGATGAAAGTGAGAGAGTTTTTGTTGGCATGGAAAGTAACAATGGCATAAAATGAGGAATATTATTTGTGAAAGTAAATAATTTTTAACTTAGGTTTTATCTATAAAGAAGATATCAACCGGGCGTGGTGGCTCACACCTGTAATCCCAGCACTTTGGGAGGCCAAGGCGGGCAGATCACAAGGTCAAGAGATCGAGACCACCCTGGCCAACATGGTGAAACCCTGTCTCTACTAAAAATACAAAAATCAGCTGGGCGTGGTGGTGCGTGCCTGTAATCTCAGCTTCTCAGGAGGCTGAGGCAGGAGAATCGCTTGAACCTGGGAGGTGGAGGTTGCAGTGAGCCGGGATTACGCCATTGCACTCCAGCCTGGCAACAGAGTGAGACTCCATCTCGGGAAAAAAAAAAAAGATATCATGATAATTTTAATTTTCTCTTCTTACCTAAACTATCATATTTCTTTGGTTAAATCTATTCAATTAGTTTTGGTGATGCATTATATGTAGTTCTGGTATGATATCTGCTGATTTCTATTTGGAACATGCCCCATTTTATAAGGACACGAACCTTCTATGACATATTATAGAAATAAAATTAGTAAATATTTTTACATTTAAGACTTTTGTTCTAAAATAGGATTTCTTAAGCCTGGTCCAAGGAGTGTAATATTTCTTTTAGCATACATATTAAACTTAATTTTTAAATTTCTCCTTTTAGTGCATAACACTTCTCAGGACTTTTTATTTATATCTCCTTCAAACAGCTGACTTTGTTTCTGAGGCTTTAAATTCAACAATTATTTCCTAAGCCTGAGGATTATAATGTTTTAAAGAACATATGTGGAATATATCTGAATTATAATATCTTACAAATAAAAGCAATATAACTGCTTACATAAATTTCCCTAGTATAGTGGTCATACTATCCTAGGTTTACTACAAAGCATTACAATTTTTATGGCTTTATGTTATATCCCTTACAACATAAAAAATTCATTTATATTTTAATTAACAAATAGTTTCATGTCTTCTTGTAGCTACCCCAAGATCTCTTTACCAACTTTGCCGACTCTGTATCCGAAGTTACATAGGAAAACCAAGATTGCACCTTATCCCACAGCTCCAGCTGCCAACATTACTGAAGAATTTCTTGCAGTATCGATAAAACAGTAAAATAATTCTAAATACCTTGAAAAATCAAAATTTCTATTTCTTTTGCTTAAGGAATAGTTCATATTAAAATATGCTAAAGATAGGGTAAAAGTGAGTATGAGATCACCCAGGGAAGCAGTAAAATATCAATTTTCTTTTTAAGTGTACTAGTTAGTACTATTGTTTTATCATTTATGCTGTCTTTGGATTATAGCATATTTATAATATCTATTTTTTGTTATTTCAACATACCTTCTTGTTGATTTAGGAAAAAAATAATAAAGTCTCTATCATATGTTTTCTTTCAGATTGGAAAGAAAACTCTTAGTAAAGTTATTCCTATTATATTTATAAAGGTCTATATTCTTCAACTAATGGGTTAACTTTTAATTTTGGCTATTGTAATTGGCTAACTTGTTATTGATATTGACATAAAATATGAGTATGGCTTAGCAAAGAGCAACTAATATGCTTTCTGAAACCAAGATGATGCTCGTTCAGGAAATCCACTATGTTGAATGTCCACTGGTCATTAGAATGACCACTTCATAAAGATAAATTGCCCACTGCCTTGCCCCCAGCAAAGGACTCACAAGTCACTTCTTTTCTCCATAGTACATGGACCTGTTACAGAAAAGTGATAGGATGAAAGGTCAGTACTGCCCTTTCATCCTGAGATATTTAGAACATTACACACCTTCTAAGGCTATTTGAAGACTGCCTCCTTCTCAGGAGTAGCCCCTGATGATCTCTTATCAAGGCTGTTATATGCATATTACTCCAGCCTTCTTCCATGTCAGAAATTGTCAACAGCTAGTGATACTTGGGCTTAAGAAAATGAACTACATATCGAATTGATGAAGAGGCCCTGGATCACATTCCAGGGATCATCACATCAGTCCAAGGATATGAAAAAACTGGAAGTTAAAAACTCAAATTGTGGAGTTTTTAAAGAGTGGGTGCCACTTAACACATTTGGAGACCTTAAAAAAAATGTATATAGAGAACTTAATCGCACTGTTTCTAATTTTTTTTACACAAACAAGGATTTAGAATACACTGTATTTGCAGGTAATAGCAAGAGAGAGTATTGTATAAAAGAAGATTTTCCTAAGCTAGTCCTCTGCAAGGGTAAATACTATGTTTATTCTCTTCAGCTTTAACTATACTTGAGTGCAATAGAAAACATAATAAAATTTTATGCCTTTTTTGTAATTCAGGGTCTATAATGATTTTAGAAATAAGATAATCAACATACTACTCCTTGTAAAACAAAAGCAACTTTGGGTGAGTTTTATAGATTTATTAAATTTTGATAAAGTAAATATTTTGACCACTATTTTCAACAACCCAGGGTTTATTTTCTTCTGACTTCTTGGCTAACTTCCAGACTATGAGAAAATAAATTATGACTGTACATGACCCCCAGATCACTAAGCTTGCATTTTGGCAGAAAAAAGAAAAAAAAAATAAAAAGCAGTTGTGATTTAAAACGTTTGTTGAGATTTTCAAACATAGAAATAAAGCTGTAGCATATTCACTAAACAATGTCTTCTATGTGGATAAGGACCTTTAAATGTGTGTTGTATAGAATATCTCACACATTTGTAATGGATAATGTGCATTAAATGGAGTTCTTATTACAGAATAACCTGGTTAAACAGATACTAAAGCTGCTTTTGGGTAAAACAGGTTTCCACCAGTATTTTCCCTGAGCTAGAGGAGAAGTCTTAGATTGTAAGAGTAATGCAACACATCTATCTTATTAGTCTTGTGCCAATAAAAGAAGTAAATATCAAACATTAAAATGGACACTTTACAATTTCAGTATATCTGTACCTTGTATCTCAGCTTGAGTATGATTGTCTTATCAAAGTAGTGTTCTAACTTTAATGTATTTTATGTTTGTTATTATATTAAAGTGTGATTATTATTCACTGGAATAAAACACTTTGTGTTTGTCTCATTATTTTATTTTATAATGAAGGTCATGGAGTGACTCAGTTGCACTAATATTTTTCACCACCGATTTCCAAATCACCGAATCTAATCCAAAACATATTTTATATATATGGGACATATAATACGTATATGTGATATTTAATACATATATTATACATATATACATATTTTATACATATATGTATACACATACATTAAAGTTCAGGGACAAAATTTCACAAAGTAAAAGAAAAGAGTTACTATGTGACAAAAGAGTTAAGAAATTTAGTAAAACAATAACTATCGATAGACACTGTTGACACAATTTTTTTGGATGAAAAAAGTAATTAAATTCCATTGCTTTTATAGCCACAGCATATATTTGGTGTTTCTGAGAAAGTAATAAGTAGCGGAAAGAAAGGTTAGGCGGGGGGGTCAGCGTATCAGCATGGCGAGAGGATCAAGTCAGAATGGACTTTACAGTAGTCTCTAAGAACAAAAACTAGCAGCCCTACTCCACTGAGCAGAGGCGTAAGAGCGCATACTAAATCAATGTAAAAAAAAAAAAAAAAAAAAAAAAAAAAAAAGGCTTTCAAAAATTTCCATCATAGCACTGAGCTCAACTGAGTAGTGATCTAGCTACAAAGTAACTTAAAAATTATCCTTTCCCTTGGATTATTCCCACTTTTTTACTTCAATTTCTCTATCATTATCATTTAGAATTTAGCTTATTTTAAGGTTAGTCCTTTCTCTTAAAAACCTAACTGAACTTTCTTACACTTTCAAGATCGATGTAAGAAAATTTATTAAGAAAATTCAGTGCATTACTAGCTCATCTGACCCATGACCTTAAGCAAATCATTTCATTTCAGCTGTGTAGGTCTCAGTTTTGCTTTCTTTTTTTTCTTTTGAGACAGAGTCTCACATCTCAGCTCACTGCAACCTCTGCCTCCTGGGTTCAAGTGATTCTCCGGCCTCAGCCTCCCGAGTAGCTGGGATTACAGGTGTACGTCACCACACCCGGCTAATTGTATGTTTTGTAGAGACAGGGTTTCACTGTGTTGACCAGGCTGTTCTTGGACTCCTGACCTCAAGTAATCCACTCGCCTTGGCCTCCCAAAATGCTGGGATTGCAGGCGCCAGCCACCGCACCCAGCCAGTTTTCACATTTTTTAAATGATAGGTTTCCTTCCCATTTTCAGTTCTGTGTTCAAATTCATTGAGTCTTTTAATAAGGATGCGGGAATTCAAATACATTTTAAAAATTATTTTTTGGTTTATGAAAAACATATTGTGTGTAGACATTTTATAAATCACATGTTCAGGTTTGCAAAAAAGTTTGTTTTATTATTCTGAACAGAATTTAATTTTTACTCCAAGCTTCCTTTCCACCAAGTGAAATCAGGAAATTCCCGGAAAAACTCAGTCAATTCAGTGCTTTCTTAGTTTCTTCAGGTAAACTTTTCAGTCAATTCAAACCTCTACCCCTCCACCCGCCACCCCTGGCACCCACCCCATCCCCGGCCCGCGCCATTTCTTCCTGGAATGGCATCTAAGTTCCAGGAGACATCTGTGAAATCCACTTTGTGGTGGGAGCATGCGTATGCTCCCGTCCTCTGGGAGACTCAAGTGTGTCAGGAGAGTTAGGCAGGTGATATGGGGCAGTGATTAGGTGACAGATCACAAAGGACATTTGCACTGATTTAAGAAAGCTCTTGCTGGGCGGTGGTGTGCACCTGTAGACCCCGCTACACAGAAGGAATGAGGCAGGAGGATCACTTGAGCCCAGGAGTTGAGGCTGCAGTGAGCTATGACCACACCACTGCACTCCAGTGTGAGATCCTGTCTCAAAAAGAAAGAAAGAGGAAAGAAAGAAAGAAAGAAAGAAAGAAAGAAAGAAAGAAAGAAAGAAAGAAAGAAAGAAAGAAAGAAAGAAAGAAAGAAAGAAAGAAAGAAAGAAAGAAAGAAAGAAAGAATAAATAAAAAGGAAGAAAGAAAAGTAAAGAAAGAGAGAAAGAGGAAAGGAGGACGAAAAGAAAGAAAAAGGAAAGAAGTGAGAGAAAAGGGAGAGAAAGAAGAGAAAGGAAGGAAGAAAGAAGAAGGAAGGAAGGAAAAAAAGAAAGAAAGAAAGAAAGAAAGAAAGAAAGAAAGAAAGAAAAGAAAGAAAAGAAAGAAAGAAAAAGAAAAGAAAGAAAAGAAAGAAAAAGAAAGAAAAGAAAGTTCCTAATGTGAAAGTCAAAACACAGACTAGATCCTCCCAGAGCTCATTTTGCTTCCCTGTCACTGCAAATGCTCTTCCCTCTGCCTGGAACACACCCTTCTCCATCCTCCATCTTAATAACTGCTGCATTACCACCAACAATTAGCTAAAAAATCACTCTTTCAAGAAACCTTCCTCACCCTCCTCCCAGCCAAACCTTCCTCACTACCCCCCAGTCTGGGTTGCACACCTATCTATTCTCTTTGGGACCCTGTGCAGGCCTCTTCTAATCACATCCCCAGTACTATAGGACAAACTTTGATTTGCTTGTCTGCCTCCTGTGTAGGGACTGAGTTTATTGTAGATGGAACTGTGTCATGTTCACAACTCCCTCCTCATCAGTCAAAGATTCATCTACATTTCCTTCCCCTTAAAGGCCATCACATACTTCTTCAATTAGCTTGAAACACAAAAGTTCTTTTCTTCTCTGCCCACTAGGGATGTGTGTGATTGTGTGCGGAAAGATAGCACCCTTTCTCCTAGAGTGGGAACAAGAGACAGGAGATGTTAAAAGAATTCAGCGGCTTCGGCTTCCTTAATCAGTCTCCCTACTGCAAAGCTTGAAGTTAAGACTTCGTGGGTAAAGAGAGTGGCTCTATTATTTGAAGTGGAGACATCTGCGGAGTTAGGAACCCGGATCCAGGTCCTTTGGGACAGTTACCACAGAGCTGTCCCTCACTCCCCCTCCACTGGGCAATGTTAGATGACAATCCCTCCCACAATGGGTGGAATCTGGGACTTAGGGTTAGAACGCAACCCAAATTCTACAATCAGACTAGACTGGCTTTCTCAAACACACTAATAAAAATAAATTCACCCAAAAGTTATTCATCTTTACTGAACAAAGTATGTCTTAAAAATCTGCTACACCTACAGCCACTGCCAAGTCCAGCACGTGCAATGTGAATCATGTACAACCCCTTCAGAGATGCTTGGGCATTTCCCCCAAGAGCAGACGACAGGCTGGCAGGTGACTTGTGGTGTGTGGCAGGGGTTTGAAAGATAAGCTGGGACAAGGAGGTGCTCTGATGTGAGGTGCTGAAAAATTGAATATCCCATAAAGCACTTAACAGAGAGATATGAGACTAACAAATGAGACCCAGAGAGCCGCAAACATATGCCAATGGCATAGAAAGTGGAACTGCTGTCTCTAAGGACAGACTTTTCAAAGACTTTCCTTGTTCACCTGCCTGCCCTTCCACCTGTCTGAAGCAGCCCAACCAGAGGCCAATTGCCACAGCAGCAAAAGTAGGAGGATCGCAGAACTTTCAGAATCGTGGAGAATCATGGAACTTTCAGAGCTGGCAGGACACCAGAAGAGATGAGCTCTAAACATGAACTCTTTGGCACTTCAGATAACACCCAATTTCCTGCAATTATGCTGAAGAATATCAGTGAGTCTCTAGTGCATGAAACAAAAAGAGATAACTAAAATATACAAGTAATCAAAATAAAAAGACAAGAGATACAAACTTACACATCCCCTGACAAAAGAAAAGCCTAACTTTTCTACTTGCAGTGTAACTTCTCCCTCTACTCTCTTGAATTTTTGTGGGAAAATTACCACATCAAACCAAATCATATTCCATTAAGACTTGAAGGAAACAGAGGAACAGGAGTAGATTGGTTGCAAAATATTGACAATAATTCCTCCCGTGCAGTCTTTTGCAATGTCACTTGCCTTCTCCTCCCAACAAGAGAAGCAGGCACGTTCCCCATGTCTTGCATTTGGATGAGTCCTGTCTCTTTCTGTGACTAAGACATGGAGTAGCAGTGACGTTGGGTTAATTTTGAGCCTAGGCCTCAAGAGACCTTGAAACTTCTAATTTCGTCCTTGTGGAAGACTGAGATACACCTACTAAGATACACCTGCTTAACTGGTCTTAAGCTAGCAAAACATTATGAACAGAGATCAAAAGGCTCAATCTTTCTGTCATCATTGTCCTTGTCAGACTGGACCCTAGACAACGAGGTCTAAGAACAGAGTGAGCCACCACGCCCAGGTAGATGGTCATTTTTAGCAGGTCCAAAATATACACACTAAAGGTGGGAGAAAGCAGGAATAAAAATGTGATACAACCTATTACAGAAATACTTGTCTTGGGAAGGCAATTAATGCTTTTCTCCTGTGCTAATCCCACGTGGTCCTTCCTTTAAAGGCAAATTCATGAATATGTAAGGAATAGCCCAGAGGGAAGACATCCTCCTATTGTGCAAACACTATTCTGGGATTCATTAGCTGCTTCACGAGCTCTGGCATGGAGGTTCCTTTTATGGGTTATATAGAACAACTTACAGTAAGCAATTAAAGTATTTAAAAGGGGTTTCATAGGTCCAAGCAGCCAAAGCGCGTCTCGATGGGGAACGTAAGCACTGAGGTGAACTGTGTGCTCTAGGAAGGGAGCTGGCAGCTATGCCTCGGCAATTAATGCAAATAATGGTGACCCAGTAACTCTTACTGCCAACAATCACTATCTTTATAGCTCCAGAGAGAAGACAATTAAAAGCTTGAATCTGGTGAGGGCAGAGCTCTAAAATCTCTGTCTCTTGCAGGCCAGTGATGTAACTTTTTTTTTTTCCTGAGACCAGGTCTTGCTTTGTCTCCCAGGCTGGAGTGTAATGGTACAGTCTCTGCTCACTGCAACCTCCACTTCCCAGGTTCAAGTGTTTCTCCTGACTCAGCCTCCTGAGTAGCTGGGATTACAGGTGCCTGCCACTGTGTACAGCTAATTTTTGTATTTTTTAGA